CAGGAAATTGCTTTAAAAAAACAGATCATCCTTTTCTCATTGAAGTAATGATTTAATTCATGGTTAAGTTTGTAAAATGCTTAGGTTCATATAAGTCACAAAAACTTGAGACTTTCTTTGCATGTCTGTTACCCTTATTTGAATGTGAGCTTCTCAAAGGCAAGGATTGTAGCTAACTCTTTTCATTTGTATGTCCCCAGCATCTAACTGTCTAGAATAAATAAGTGCTCAATAAATGCTTATAAGATGCCCAACCAACAATATATCACAAAGGCAAAACTACAACGATAAACCTCTATAATAAAATAAAATAGAAAACATTCTCCAAGTACTATAAAATAAGCATAATGTTTTTACACTAATAAAAGAACCTGCAATACGCTATAAAATGTACAGAGAACAGAAACAATTATTGTTAAATTTAACCTAAAACCCTAGTAGGTATCAGAATAACTTTGATGATTAAAGTAGGGTTAACATTGAAAGGTGAAATAGAGAGGATGAAGAAGCAATTTCAAAATCTAAAAAACTCAAGTAAGGAATTAAATAAGAAAGATCATCTGAAGAATAAATACTAATATGATATTCAATATTCAATATTGTGGGACCAATATTTAGTCTTCTGCTAAAATATTGAATCATTTGGATGGTTTTAGTTCATAAGAAGAGCTCATAATTGATTGAACAGAAACTCAGATCTTTTTCATGGCTCATGGTTTTTCACAAAACCAAACTCCCTCCATAATTAAGTATTTGGTATTAATCAAGACATGATATCAAAACCAAATATTTTGATAGACTGAACCATCCTTATACCCTTAGAGAACAACCCTTTTCCTTCTTTGCAAGAGCATTTTCTGATACTTGATATTTTCTAGCCCGTTCAGCCTGTCTGCCTTTTAGTAAAATGAAGTGCAAAATCAAATTACAGACATGGTATAAGCCCCAGAACTTAACACACTCTACTCAATTGACATCTGATTTATTAAGGAAGCTTAGGCAGCTCTAAGTAGCACTGGCAATCCTAGGCAATTATAACTACTGAAGAAGTTCATTGTAATCTAATCCCAACGATTAGCACAAAGGCAAAGTAACCCTCAGCACTCCGTGGAACTTGGATTCCTGGAGGTTGTGCAGATGGGATGATAAGTGTCACTTTCTCTGTGAAAATTTTAAATAGTTTAGGTTCTGCAATGTAATATTCAATTCATTTTAAAACTGTTCTTTTGCTACCAATAAATATTTGAAAATAAAATGAAAGCACAGTGCAGGAAGAAAAATATTAGGAAGTAGGGAGGCCAAGGATAGAAGAAAATATTGTGGTGTAGTTCCCTAAGCCAGGGAACTGGGCTCAGTTCTCACTTCTTTAGATTCTTACTGAGGCCATAAGGAAGGAAAGAACTTTGAGACTGGGAGACTCACCTTCACTTCCCATGAGGCACAGATTTCTGAACTACTGAAGGTCTGCTCCTTCTCGTTCCACCACGATGTCATAAAGAGTGATGACTGATTACAAATATTTCTATTTACCTTTAAGAGTGTATCACAGTTCAATTCGGCAGTCTCTTCTGTGAGGCTCCTGTGAGAAAAGAAAGGTGTAGAGGGTGATGAGCGACACAAAGATGAATTTAACCACATGGCTTCCATGTTCAGGGTGGCTTGGGGTAGGCAGAAAGAACAGAGACTTCCCTCTCAGCACCACCACTACCAAATTGGGCAACTTTAAGCAAGTTGCCTGTCCTTGTGAGCATCTAGTTTCCCATGTCTGAAATGCAAATAACAATATGGACTTTCTCAGGGGTGTGTGAGGATTAGAATTGGCATATGTAAAGCACACAGTGTAGGACCCAGCATAGAATATGTGCTCGAGATACTGTGTTTCCTTTCCCTCTCTTCTTGAGAGTTTCTAGCTGTTGAGAGAGGCACACATGAAAACTAACCCAAGTACAAAGTAAACCACTGTAAAAACTAACAGGGAAGTTACAGTCTCTGAGAGGAAAGAGATACTATTTACAAAATGGAGAATCAGGAAAGATTCTATATAAGAGGTGACTTTGAATCTGGCTGTGAGAGGTGGCTTCAGAAGGAGTATGGCATGTGGGAAACGGCAAATCATCTGATGTGATCCTAGCAGTCCTGATTGTCTATGTGGGGGCCACAATCTGGTGGGAAGGGAAAGCAGGTGCAGTGCTGGGGGAGGTTGTGGGTGAAGAGACTAAAGCCCGCCTCCCATCCCACCCCAGCACTGACTTGGAACATAACAGGTGTATAGGATATTTGGACAGATGTATGTGTGTAATGAAAATGCAAAGACCTGTTGGGAGCAGATTGTGTGGGACCTGAAATGCCTCAGAGTTTGAACTTAATTGAACAGATGATGAGGACTGCTGAAGGTGTTTGAACAAGAGATTGATGTGTTATGACCTGTGTGTGTTTTTTACACTCTCTCTAGAACAGTGTGAAGGAGTGAGGGGAGAATGATAAAAGCTTGAACTCATTGAAACGCTCAAACACATCCACAGATTCATCACACAGCACCTAGAGGCTGCCAGTGATGGAGATAAAAATAGCCATCACAAAAAGAATAATAAACACTTGTATAGCATTTCCTGTGTCCCAGACATTATTCTGAGCGCTTGACCTATACCAACCCCTTTAGTCTTCGCTATAACCATATGAAGTAGGTGCTATCATTACCCTCCTTTTACAGCTGAGGAAACTGAGGGTTAAGTGACTTGCCCAAGGTCATGGCCAAGCTGGGCTTTGAACTCATTTAGTTGGCTCTAGAGGTCAGGCTAGCCACCACTGCCCCAGGGTGCCTCTATAGCAATGCCTGGGGTTCCCTGGTGGATTGGTGCCGTAGGTATGGGGACAGGACACAGAAAGGAAGCAAGGAAAATCAAGAAGTAAAAGGAGAGGAGATCCACTTATTTGTGGGGTGTAAAAATCAAAACAGTTGAACTTATGGACATAGAGAGTAGAAGAATGGTGAATGGAGGCTGGGAAGGGTGGGGGGATTGGGTGGGGAGATAGGGAAAGGTTAATGGGTATTAAAAAATAGTTATAAAAAATGAATAAGACCTATTTGATAGCACAACAAGGTGACAATAGTCAATAACTTAACTGTACATTTAAAAATAGCTAAGAGTATAATTGGATTGTTTGTAACACAAAAGGTAAATTCTTGAGGATGGATACCCCATTCTCTATGATGGGATTATTTCACATTGCATGCCTGTATCAAAACATCTCATGTACCTCATAAATACATATACCTACTACGCACCCACAAAAGATAAAAAAAAATTAAAAAAAGAGAGGTGGTCAAATAGAATGCACTAGAGAAAATAACCAATTACTCATAATAAGAAACACCTGAGGTCCTGTAATAATACTCTCAGATGCCACCCAGTGCTACCCTTGCCATAAACTCTATATCCTTATAGCAGAAAACTTAGATTCTCTGAAATTGAGTTCCTCATCTAAGGGAAGATTTAAGGAATGACAACTCTAAGAACTGTTGTGATTGAAGTAAATAATCAGAAACAGCTCAGTCTGCCAGATACATTACACAACACATTACTTTGAAAAACTAGCAATTTAAAGAAGTGAAATGGACCATAAAAATAATTAAATGGGCTGGGTTTCCTATTTAGGAAGAACTCCCTAAGTTATTTAAGGTATTTCACCATCGGATCCAGTTTCTCTCTTACTATTCACTTCTAAAACAATTAAACTATTTCCTGTTTCCAAATCAACCCTCACTCCCCACAATGTCTACATCCCAAATTATGTTTTCAAGACACGGAATTTGTCCTGAGTTTGCCTTTTCAAATGCACTCTCTACCCTTCTTCAGTTCGCTCTATCCCTGGGTGCTTTACAAATGCCTAGGAGTTCGAACTCCTAGGCATTTCAGGTCCCACACAATCTGTTCCCAACAGATTGTTACATTTTCATTACACACATACATCTATCCAAATATCCTATACAGCTGTCATGTTCCACGTCAGTGCTGGGGTGGGATGACAGTCACCCTAACTTGAGTGCCTGAGCCCAGCAGGGATACTCTATGAACAGTAAAAGAAGGGCTGAATAGAAAGGACACAAGTTCTATGTCCTGGGTCAACAGCCCTCGACTCGCATTTCTGGCTCTGGTTGTGTTCATCCATTGAGGGTCTGGTAGGCAATGAGATGGGAGGGGATGTAAGGTCAGGATATGTTTTCCGCATTGTCTTTCCTGGGAGACCACCTGGATTGCTGTCTCCCCTGGCTGCATCTCCTTGTTTTCCATAAGGCAGCCTTCTCTTAGGCCCCTCCTTGTGGGTTTCAAAACCATGCCTTCCCCATGGCTCTTCGGTGGCAGCACTAATGTTACCAGCTGGGCTATTGCATCATCTTCTGTAGTTCCTCTACACCACTCCCATCCTTTTAAAATAGACGCTTTGTTAATCTGTCCTGAATTATCCTAAGGTGAGTGAGGGTCCCATCCCTTTCCTTTTGGCTCTCTCATATATTTGTCCACTCTGATGCCCTCTCTCCTCTGAATTCTCACAAAATTCAATTTTTATCTCTTTGAAGGCACTGATCTTTTGAAAATGACAATATTTGCATACGTATTTTAAGGCTGTTCCTTACAGCAAATCTCCATGTTTGAGGACAAAGGCTGGATTTTATTCATTTGCAGTCACCCTGACTTGAGTGCCTGAGCCCAGCAGGCTCCTCAGTGAATGTTAAAAGGAGGGCTGAATGGCAAGGACACAAACAAGAATGTTGTTGCATCATTTAACTTGCCCTTATGCATGCTGATCTAATACTGTCATTTTAACATTAAAACTAAGTTCTTTCACATTAGGGAGTCAAAGTCTACTTCGCTTCTAGATCATGAAATTGCAGCGCTGGGTCTGAGCTGTCTGCAGACCTAGAACTCCCATCTCCTCTCCTCCCCTTCTCACACTGGTCAGAAATATGCTCTGATGATGTGCCTCTCTGTGTGTTTCAGGCCTTTCTCTGTAGAACCAGCTGTTGGAACTCTTAATGTGGGAGAGTCCATGCAACTGGAAGTGGAGTTTGAGCCACAGAGTGTGGGCGATCACAGTGGAAGACTTATTGTGTGTTATGACACAGGTATGCATTAATCTTTGTTAAAAGTTCTGCATGTTAAGAAACGTCAGATGTGTATGTTCTCAGTCCTAAGAGGGAGCCAAGCTACGAGGATGCAAAGGCATAAGAATGATACAATGGATTTTGTGGACTTGGGGAAGCGGGTGAGAGGAGGGTGAGGGATAAAAGACTACACATTGGGTACTGTGTACACTCTATGCACTCTGATGGGTACACCAGAGTCTCAGAAATCACCACTAAAGGACTTATTCATGTAACCAAATACCACCTGTTCCCCCAAAAAACTATTGGAATGAAAAATAAATAAATAATAATAAAATAAATTTTAAAAAATATAAAAAGAAAGGTCAGATGGGAAATATGATAAAGCTGAATAGGAAATGGTTATTTTGGCTGCATTCTAAGCTAAGATCCACAAGATAAAAAACCAATGAATGCCTCCAGTAGAAATGATGTGAAGTCAGATAGAAATCTCACCTGCCTGGTGTCCCCAGTGCTTAAAAGCCTGAGGAATACAGGGCTCAGGAAGGAACCCATCCCCAGAAGCCACACTGGTGGATTGAGGTTGTCTGTATATTAAAATTTGCAGGTAATTTAATGCCCCGTGGGTTTTCCATTTGATTTATTGTGATATTTGTCTAGCATTTTAAAAATGTAAACCCCAATTCAGAATGTTCTTGTATGTGTCCACTAGTCTATGTAAGATCCAGTTACTTTAATCCTTAAAACATGCAGGTATCTTATGTAACATCTTACATGAATATAGGACTCTGTTGCCACTAGCATTTTCTTGAAGGCCACACCCTCTATAATCATGAAAATTACACACTGTTGTTGCAAATAGTCAATTTATGGTCATGTAGATAGCATGTACATTATGCAGTCTCCAACGCTGGCTTTCAGATTAATATTTTACATTGCCATTTATTATTTTATGATTTTTCTCATTTCCTTCTCCCTTCTGTTTTACTCATTCATGTTGATTAACCCAGATTATCTGCAGAAGGGCATTGTAGGGAGAAAACAGAAGCACACAGCGGGGAAAGAGTAAGCTAAGATCCACAAGATAAAGAACCCATAGAAATGATATGGAGTCAGATAGAGATGCTTGAACGCCTGAGGAATGCAGGGCTCAGGAAAGAACCCATCCCCAGAAGTCACACTGGTAGATTGAAGTTAGCTGTGTATAGATAGAAACTTGAAGGTATACCCAGAGAAGGAGCAGCACAAGACATTTAGGGTACAGTTCAGAGTTGCTGGCTTTGTGGAAGCGTATCTGTGCAGGACGACTCAAGCCCTTGCCTTAGGACCCACGGTTAAGTGGCCCTGGCTCCACATTGCCCAGCAGAACAACACACAGCCCATGAAGTGGTCTATCTGTTTTATCTATTAGTGTTAGCTACACTTCACTGGCTTTTAGCAAGAGAAGCTAGCTTAAGCAAAAGGGAGAATGTTTGACCCATGTAACCAAAGGGTAGAACGGTCTGTTTAAAAGCATAGCTCATAATACATTAGGACATCAGTTTTCCAAGGTAGTTGTGTCATCTTGCATTCCAACCAGCAAGGCATGAGAGTTCTAGTTGCTCCACATCCTCACCAACATATAGCGCTGTTTTGTTAATTTTGGATATACTAGTGGTATAAAGTGATGTCCAACAGGTTTTAATTTTCATTTCCCTAATAATTAATAATGTTGGGTGCCTTCTCAAGAGCTTCCTGGACATTCATGTATCTTTTTTAAGTGTCTGCTCATGACCTTTCTTTGCTTATTCTTTTGTTATTAATTTGTAAGCATCTTTTATTAATATTCTAAATACTAGTCATTGGTCAGATATGTGTATTATTAATGCCTTTGTTTCTGTGATAATATTTCTTAATAAGCAGCGATTTTGAATTTTGATGAAATCCATGTTATCAATTTTCTTTTCTTTTAAGATTAACTCTTTTCGCCTCCATCCTAGGAAATCTTTGCCTTCTCCAAGATCATGAATATACTTTCCCATGTTTACTTCTGGAAATGTTACAGTTTTAGCTTCTGGGTTTAGGTTAATGCCCCATCTTTGATATAATATTTGCGTATATGTGATGTAGAGGCTGTGTGTCATTTTCCCCCATATGCATTATTTGTTCTTTTCCATCTTGTTCTGGAATACAGAATAGTTATTCTATTTTTCCATTATTTAATATGTTATTATGCTGTTATTCATTCCTTTTTTCCTCTATGTTTTTAATTTCTTTTTCTTTGTAGACTGATCTGGATACTTTCTTCTTATCCATTATCCCATTCAATAATCCCCTCTTCAGTGAGCTCTCACCTGCTGAGTTTTAATTTTTTAATTATTATGATTGTTTTTATTTCTCGAAGTTTTATTTGGTTCTTATCAAATCTGACTGCTCTCCATCCCCTCCTTATTTTTCCAGTTTTTCTTTGATTTCTTAAATATATTAATTGTGGTTATTAATATTTTGTATCTGATAATGCAAATAAATTAAGTCTACTGTTTAGTATGCTGTTTATTGTTTCTGCTGGTTTTCAACCAGGGTATCTTATGTCTTTTTGTGTTTCATAATTTTTGGATTTGGAGTTCCACCTCTGGGCAGGCCCTGGACTTTATCAGCTGTCCTAGGCACATATATTGCAATCTTTAAAGCAGAAGTTTGAAGGTTCACAAAAGCCATTAGGGCAAAGGTCAGCCGTGGCACTAGACTATTTCTTGGTATGCTTGTCTTCACTTTGATGTCCTCATTGTCCTATCAGGTTAGTGATGAATTTAAAAGTAGTTGTAAAAATACTTTCTCAGCTGAGTGCAGTGGCTCACGCCTGTCATTTCAACATTTTAAGAGGTGACAGCAGGAGAATTGCTTGAGCCCAGAGGTTTGAGACCAGCCTGGGCAACACAGACAGACTTCATCTCTACAAAAATAAACAAAAATTAGCTGGGTATGGTGGCACATACCTATAGTCCCAGCTACTTGGGAAGCTGAGGTGAGAGGATTGCTTGAGTCTGGGAGTCGAGACTGTGGTGATTCTGCCCACTGTACTCCAGCCTGGGAAACAGAGTGAGAGTCTGTCTCAGTCAATCAATCAATCAAATACATAAAAATATTTTCTCAAATATTTCAATGAGGTCCCTAGTTTCATTGGCTGCCTGAAAGTGACTCCAGTTTATGCCTTTTTTCACATTGGTCATTATTATTTATAGACTAGTTCCTTCTTTCCTACTACTTTATAGACCTTTCTCTACATCATGATATAAACATTGTCTATCCTTCCATGCATTTGGTTTTCTTTATTTTCTCTCATCAGTAGTTTTCTGTGTAGAAGTCTTGAATATTTACATTAGATCTAATTCTATTCAAATCCCTTCTTCACTTGCTCTTTTATTATTAATTTGTAAGCATTCAGTGGTTTTTGATGTTAGTATAAGTAGTTTTTTATTATATTTTTATTGAGGTATAATTTAAATATAAGATGCACAGAGTGTAAATATACAGTTTGATAAGATTTGACAAGTGTAACTACCTATATGTACCCACTGCCCAATTAAAGAGACAGAACATCTACTGCCTTATGCCGATTTGCAGGCAACCCCTCCACCCCCCATCCAGAGGTTCTGATTTCTATCACCCTATATTAGTTTTCCTTCTTCTTAGACTTAAAATAAATGTACTCATACAGTATATACTCTTTTGTGTCTTGTTTCTTTCACTCAGCATAATGTTTTTGAGATTTATCCATGTCCTTGTGTCTGGCAGTAACTCCCTTTTTATTGCTAAGAAGCATTCTACTATATGGTTGTACATAATGTATTCATTCTATTATTAATGTAAATTTGGATTTTTGAAGTTTTGGGCTTTATGAATAAAGGTTTAATAACCATTCTTATACACATCATATGTATGTACATTTATGTGTATGTGTGCAGATATACATATGTTTAATATCTCTTGGGTAAATATTTAAAAGTAGAGTTGCTGAGTCATAGAGTCATCATATGCTTAACTTGGTAAGAAACTTCCAAATGGTTTTCTAAAGTGGTTGAACCATTTTATTTATATTCCCACCAGCAATGAATGTATGAAACTCCATATTGTCATCAACTCTTGGTCATGTCCTTCTTTTAATTTTAGCCATTCTACTCGGTATAAAGTGGCATCTTATTTTGGTTTCAATTTGCATTTTTCTAATAACTAATGATGTTGAGTGTCTTTTCATGTGCTTTTGTCCATTTGATGTCTTTTTTTCTGAAGTACATGTTTAAGTCTTTTGCCTATTCTTTATGGGATATTTTATCATTTTATTATTGACTTCTGAACAGTTTTATGCCAAAATTTTAAGATTTTAGACTAAATGGAAACGTTTATTGAAAAAGTTTAACAGAATTAATAATTAAAAACCTGTCCCCCTTTTAAAAGGTGAGGTAGTTTTAAAAAATACATTCTTTATATAAGTCTTTCAGAAATAATTATTGTGAACGTTTTCTCATGGTCAGTGGATTGCCTTTTTAATTTTCTTGATGTCTTTTTATTACCAGAACAATTTAATTTTGATGAAGTACAATTTATCAATTTTAACTTTATAGCTAGTATGGTATTTCTTCCTAAGCCTATTTTCTAAATATGTGTGGCATTATTGAACTACAGGTGAATTTTGTATGCTGAGCTTTTATCTACAGACCTTGCTAAATTTACTTCTGACTTATATGTAGATGATTTTGGATTTTGTGTATACACAATCAGGTCATCTGCAAATAATAATAGTTTTTATTTTTCTTCAAATCTTGTGTTCTTCATTTCTTATTCTTTCTTCCACAGGCTAGACATTTAGTACGCTGTTTATTGGAAGTAACAATAGCAAACATCTTTCTCTTGTTCGCAGTCTCAAAAGAGAAGTGCTCAGTATTTCATCATTTAGTATGACATTTGCTATAGGTTTTTAGTGGGTACTCTATCAGGCTAAAAAAATTTCCTTCTATTTCTAGGTTTCTAAGACTTTTCATCTT